ATATAGATATATATATATATATATATATATATATATATATGTTGTGACTGTCCAGAAATTCCCAATCTACAGAAAATTAAACTAAACCTAAACCATTCCATATTTTCCTTTTCCCAAACATAGCCCAGTTTATATATCGAAATTCATTAAACCAACGCACATATTACGCAAACCTATAAAATCCACAACCCACATACACGAGGCCCACTCGCACCTCTTAATTCAACCTTAAAATTTACCAAAATAAAATTTACCAAAACCTGGCCCAATCCAACCTATCCACATGGCCCATTCCGAACCAAGCTCACTACTGCAATGCGGAAACCATAAATCCATAGCCAAAACCCCTAATCTAACAAGCCCATTATAATATCAACCATCACTCTGCTGGTGCCCCTGCCTTACTTTGTCATCGTCAGCGTCATCCGTTAGAAAGCCATAGTGCAGACCTACCGCATTTTGGTGTTTGGCCTTTTAATTTAAAAATCAGAACAAAATAGGGACATATAGCCATAGTGCAGACCTACCGCATTTAGGTGTTTGGCCTTTTAATTTAAAAATCAGAACAAAATAGGGACATATAGCCATAGTGCAGACCTACCGCATTTAGGTGTTTGGCCTTTTAATTTAAAAATCAGAACAAAATAGGGACATATAGCCATAGTGCAGACCTACCGCATTTAGGTGTTTGGCCTTTTAATTTAAAAATCAGAACAAAATAGGGACATATGTGCTAAAACAAAATAATAATAATAATAATAAATAAATAAATAAACAAAAAAATGTCATATAATAGCTATAGCACGTCATTTGGTCACTACCAAAATCAGGTACCTTACCCACATCCTTCCACTTATCAATACAATTATCCTTCATCTAGGACCTTTATTGGGGACATAAATTCTTATTCTGAACAACATGAACTCCAATTATGGAATTTTGATAGTCTCAATGGACCAAACTCATTTTTCGATTGGCTTGATGGTCTTGAAAATTTCTTTGAATTTCACAACTTAAATGACTCCCGTTGTCTTTGCCATGCTGATATGGCACTGGTCACATCTGCTAGATGTTATTGAAAGTATTTTTGCATAACATTAATTAACTAGGTCAGCGTCCTATCACTCTATAAGATGAGATAAAACAAATTTTAAGTAATAAATACGCTCCCGTGTACTATTGATCTCAATTGCTAGATAAATTCTTCTTAAACTATAAACAATGTACATCCACTGTTGGGGAATATCTAGCATATTTCGAAAAGTTATTGCACAGTTGTTATATTTACGAGGCTCCCCACATTACAACATCTAGATTTATTGATCGTTTGAATCTTAAAATCTTGCCTAATGATATTCCTGCATTCCAATCTCTAGGTGACACTTACCAACAAGCTAACTTATGGAACTTATCATTTCATCTTCACCGAGCATGTTAAAGGCTAGGTATATCATCACAATCTAAACAATCACCTCCCCAGTCAAGTTGTCATCCTCTTGAGAAAGATAATGAAGTTTTCATTGCTAAACCAATTGAATATTCTGATAACAAGGATGAAGAAATTTCTATAGTGTTACCACCTAAGTCAAACAATCCATCTAACTTCAATTACGTGCCGACATTGATCTTGCCTAATGTGTTGCATGATACATTGACTTTGATATGATTTTACCTCCACTTTGTGATGTTTATGAGGTTTACCACATTGTCCAATGTCATTGTTCGTTCAAACACTTTTCCCACAGTGTAAAGAAAAGATTGAATTTTTCACTTGAACTTAACCTGTTTGATTGGTCATCGCACTTACATGAGAGTTTTGTTTTCCATATAGTAGAATTGTTTCCTTATTGGGTTACATCCGCGCCACCATTGTTGCACTCACCTGTTTTCGCACGTTAGTTTACTTTGTTAGATCCTTGTACTACTCATTATGAACAATCAATTGAAGACTTTATAGATGAGTTACATAAGCGGTTGCTTTTTGAAGTTTCGTATCGATATTTGGTCAGACAAAGAGATCATCCCCTTGGGCAGGTCATGTTCTTGGGGATGTTTTGTAAATTCAGTTGATGTTACATGATCAGTTCAGGTACTTGGTTCTTACGAAAGATGGCCCTTCTTGACATAAGTTTAACAAGTTGATGCTGCCCAAGGTCCAGTACAAGCATTTGGTGAAGATAAAAGATCGACCTCCTTGGAATATGAAGTACTAGTCTATCTTATCGGAGTCGAGTTCTTTCAGCCGGGGAGAAATGATGCAATATCAGAAGGAATATTATTATGTTCAGTTTCCAATTTTAATCTGTATTTTAGGAATTATAATTAGGTTTAATTTAGTTGCTTTTATTAGATATTTTCCTTCTTAAGATAGAATATTTCCGACCCTATATGAAGGACTCTTTTGCATTGTAATAAAACAACTTCTGAATGAATGAATAATTAATATAGTCTTCCTCCATTTCTCTCTTCCCCTTGCCCTCTTCTTCTCTCTTTTCCCCCTGCTTTCTCCTCTCCTCCTCTTTTCCCTTTTCCTACAATTTTCCTCTTGCACCCTACGTCAACTAGTCATGATTAACCAACAAAAAATTGGTAATAATTTTGACAATTTCAAGAAAATGACCATCAGACTTTTTTCCTTTGAGGCACCTCTTAAATTAGCTGGGAACCACTACGTGGAGCCTATTGCAAGGGTCCCCACGGCACCAATCATCTAACACAGTCCAGGCAATACAAACTATAATAATAGAATTGAATTATGCAAGTTGTACCCATTGTCATTGATAATTTTACGTGCCAGAGAAATCAATTGTAAAATTCTGTGCCACATTATGTCAACTAGAATGTGTAGCAAAAATGATAATAATATAGGTGAAGCCATCTGGCAGGATAGGTATGACAATGAAGCCAATACAGACAAAAGTAGATGAGTCTAAAATGGACAGAGATCCACGCCTTATTTTCAATTAAACTAGGAGATGGATATTATTTCTTAAATATTTTTCCTCATTCCATCAATGTCACCAAGAAATTTCGAGGAAATTTCGTCCTCTGACTTTTGCACAGTACACGCCAAAAAGGTCCCACGTTAAAATTATGTGTCCCATTCACCTATTATAAAATAACAACTCTTAGGCCTCAGGGGCCACAGAGAGTAAACGAACATTTATTGTAATGTTGATTTGAGACTTTAAAAAAAAAACAAAAGAGAGAGACATTTGGCAAAAGAAAACTTTTTATGGCTTACTATAAAACAAAGAGTAATAAAATATTATTAATAAAAGGCAATCTCTGTCACATGGCCACCGGCCTCACCACGATGTACATCTTAGAATCACATGGGTACATGATATTGCAGCCATATCTTCAAATATTTTTTTTTTCTATAATTTCTAAAAGTAAGCGTAATAATTCATTTCAATTTTTGACTAATGTTATCCAATTATTTAAATAAAATTAACCACATCAATCAACTACACTATATCGAAGTATGGGTGTCTGCAGGTACCATATGCTACTGCTTAAAAATCTAAAACCCCAATTTGACAAACAAAAAATTACTTATGGACCAAATTAGAGCCTGTTTGGGAGTGATTTTGAGAATTGATTTTTTGATCGTTGGGAGAAAAGTGGGGTCCACCCGTGAGAGAAAAAGTCAAATATGATGGCTGGAATAGTGAAATAACGGTCAAAAAATCAATTTTTTGAGTGAAAAAATCGGGCCCAAACAAGGCCTTAAAATATGGCATCAATTTGAAACTAAAGCTCCTCAAAATTTAACAATTCTAATTTAAAATATAATATTATTGATTAGCTCTGTTAGAGCATTTTCAAGAGATTCTCTATTTTTAAAAAACATATTCTATCGAGTTGAAATTTCAAAGTATTCCAAAAAACTATTTATATTTAACATTTAATGTTATTACTCTAAAAAATATTCATTATTTTTTTTCCATATTTTATTTTAACTAACTTTTCTCTCAATTATTTTATTATTTTCCTAGATTGAGAATTAAAACATTTTAAATACATTTAACTATACCTTTTAAATTAAAAACGTTCATTTAAAGAGTGGGTGGGCCAAAGTTAGCTTCTTTTGCTGAAAACTTAAAAAGAGTGACGTCGTGAACTCTCGTCTTTCTATTTTAAGATAAAAGAAATGGTCAATGGAAAACCCAAAGTGATTAGCAATAAAAAAACCTTTAGATTCTGCAGATTTCAAAAAGAACAAACGGAAAAAGGCTCCTTTTATGCTTTACGGAAAAATGACTCCAAACACACAAAATGAGTAATTGTACTTTACATCCTGGGAAAATTTATTAACATTAGTTCATTAAAAACCTCATTAATTACCAAAAATTTTGCATAAATGAATCAAATTTTTTGTTTTTATAATTTTTAACGGGCATTTCCTAACAAAAGAAACTCGTATACAGCAGCATAAAATCAAACTTTTATTTCCAGAAATATTAGGCATATTTTTCAAGTGAATTAAACTCGGAAATAAAAATCCCATTACCTCTAAAAGTCTACCGTTTTGCCAGATTTATATTTTCCAATACTGAAAACTTAGTGATTTCTAAAAAATTATCACAAGACTCTATTAGCATTATACAAATAAAAGAAACTTGTGAAGAAGTAAGAGCATAAAATCCAAAACCTTTTATCTGTTCGAGAGAGAGAGGATCCAATTATACGTACACTGAGTTTCCGTATCCGTTCTTTATTTTCAGATCGCTTTTCGAGATCAGCGACGTACCGGAAGCGACGGCGGCGGTTCTTGACGATTGTTCCGACGGCTTTGCGCCACCGCAAGAGGTTCTCCTCCGACCGGTCGTTTTGCAGCAAATCAAAGTCCTTAGAGATTAGCTTTTCCATTGTTGAGCTGCTGTAGTCTGTGTGCCACTTCACTTCCCCCACTTTGTAGGTTAGATAATTGAATGAATGATTACTCCACTCTATTATAGGTTACTACTTGGTCTCTTATTTTCAGAAAGTTACTTATTGTTCACTCAACTTTTGTCAAATGTTACTATTTCCTTATTGAAATTTATAAGGCTACCCAATGTTCATTTAAATTTGAATAAAATCACTCATTATTCTCTAAACTTTACAATAGATAACACTCATGAAAATAATATGGATGATTGATGGATAATTTTATTCAAATTTAGGTGAGCGATAAGTAACTTTTAAAATTTTGGTGAGCTTACTACATGTAAAAAAGTTTAGTGAACAAAGATTAACCTTTTAAATTTTGATGAGCAAATAGTAATTTATAGCAAATTTCAATGACTTTATTAAATTAACTCTACAGATTTAGGTAACTGCTTTTTTCTTCGATTATTAGAATTTTGTGCAAATAACATATTATAAAATTTAAAGAATCGGAAAAATAAAAATAATGAGTATCTATACTCGTGTTAGTCGTGTGTACTTTATAATAGTGATCCGTGTATATTAATTTATATTTCGATATTTAATCAATATGAAATTTATCCTTTAACATTTTCGAGTTACTATAAATCTACATGGTTTATGTTATTTTTTAAATTTAATTTAGTTTTATTAAAACGGATATCATTATTGGCTCTCTTTTTTTTCTTTGTAGAAACGTGTTAGGCTCGACCTATTTGATCATTTATGAGTTGTTCGTGAGAGTACTCATTTTTCAATTTGTTGGCGTTGATTCATGGTCGATTCAATCAACATTAGATTAAAATACGAGATTAGTATATTATTAATTTAATTGTCTGCTGTAACAGTACTTTTAGACTATTAATGGATATAGATCTAAATGAAAACATCTTTTAAACAAGAATATAAAGAGTAAATTTTGTCCAAATTTAAAAGTCAATCGAAGAATGAAAAAGATTCCTCTCAAGTGTCAAAAGTCCCAGAAGTGCATAACAAATACCGCCAAAGTCCAATACCGCAGAGGAAATTAAATGAAGTTAGTAAAATGGTTGTTTGATAATTAAATAATTAATATCTAAGCTGATTTTTTATTTATTTATTTATTGTAAAAGTAATAGTTAATTATTTGTTTTTTTCAATGTAATGAGTAGTTCTTATGATATATCATTAGGGTGGTAGTTACAACCAACTGAACACGCCCCCATTTGAATTATTGTTATTCCTAAAGTGCAAGGTTCACACCTAACGATTCCTTAAGAGCATTGTTAAAAATTATTTGATTTATGGAAACAATTGAACCACAAACTATATAGTTTTTGGATGTTATCAAATGAGATGAACGATTTGATTCAATTTTAGTACAATTTGACATTTAATCAATTTGAAAGAGCTTAGCACTCGACTAACTTCATTAGTCCGTTGAGTGCTCGACTAACTTCGTTAATTTGTCGAGTTAGTCGTGTTATTATTTATCAAGCTTTGATAAGAATGCACAAATATAGCTACGTAGTCCACACACTTTGTGGACCTCTTAACACGAGTCTTAGGAGCACAGATATGAATTCCCAAATAGTAACAGCAAGTTTGCAGGTACTATTAGGGCCAATCAACGTATTAGATCATTTACTGGTGGACGAGAAAACAAGTTAAGTCCATTTTATTCACGAGATTATTGACGCTTAACCTTGTTTCAAGGTAATTTGAAGTGGTTGAAAATTGTGTGCACATTCGAGCTCTAGCAAATAATTAATTGACAAGATTTTCAAGGGATCAAATGATTTTGATCGTGATTCGGAGGGTTTAGAGGACTCCATTAAAGATGAATTTTCTATGCCTTTGGTGAAATCCCCATGTTGCAATTTTGGTAGGGTCTTGAAAAGAATATCTAAAATAAGTTCTTGAATTGTTTATTCTTTAGATGGTATACTCAAAAGAGGCGTTTAGAAAAAATGATCCGATCTTGGTAGAAAAACTTAGAAGTGGGAAGGACTATAGAATAGAATGGCAAAGAAGGATTTCTGTAGCTCGTGTTGTTAATGTGTGGCTTTAGTTTGAAAGTCATCATGTTAATTTTTAATTCTTTTTCTTATTTTGCGCAGGAAAGATGTATCTGTAGCGATGACTCCTTGAGCAAGAAATGACTGAAGTGGTGGAGCAAAAGGGTAAAATGTAGACAACAACCGGGATCATTCGCGATGAACAAATTATATTGCTTGATTCAAGAAACTTTGTAGGTGATGCAAACTCTCATATAATTGCTATTGACATTATACACTTCTTGTCGGTGAAGAAACTGAAGAGAGATCAAGCAGAAAGGAAGAAGTCGTACATTGACGAAAGACTTCGAAATAATGAAGAATGAAACAATTCATGTACTGATATTTAGTTCTTTTTGCTTAAAGGGAAAAGTAGGAGATTCGAGCCTTGCTCCACCCTTCCTTCCTTTAAGCAAGGTCTGGACCGCTCGAGAGCGGTTCGTAACCATCATGTTGTGCTTTAGTCTTCTCGTTAACAGGTATACACTTGAGAACAACTGCAATAAGCAAGCTCACTGCCCCGAGTACAACGCTAAGAAGCCAAAGCTGCCAGTTTAATGGTACAGTGCTGGCGAAAGTGCCCAGGAACTCGACTATAATAACTTGGAATATGACTGTGGATGCGATGATTCCTGTAAATGTCCAGTTTCCAAACATTCCACGGAAAATGTTTATCTTCTCAATGTCGCGGCTATTTATCTCATTGAAGACCTGAATGAAACCATGAAATCCGAAGAAAATAAAATTATCATGAAACGAGTATATGTTACACGGAAGTCCCAGTATTGGAATTTTAGGGAAATATATGAGATAATCAAACACAAGGAATTTAGTTGGTTTGACACTTTGCCTACTACTATGGGCTAATTAGTACTTAACAAAAGTGGTGAATGGTAAAGAGTACCATGTTGTCAATCCCGAACTCTACAAAATACCTACTAGAGGATAATACCTGAAAAGAGTACAAAGTTCTTGAACCGAAATCTCCCACCAAAATGTCCATGACGGTCTCACAAACTAAGACTCTCAAAGGTACAAAGTTCTATTTTGAATTCAAGTCAATTCTTTTTGTAGTGGACAAACAAATGACATTCTATTCGAGATTGTCTTCGAACAATAAAACAACATATATATACAGCGCGAAAAAATTACTGGATGTTCTTAAAAGGGAAGGAAGAATTCTTGATGTTACATATTTTTTGGTGCTGGTTTTTATTTCCGCGAACATGATGATAATGAAAAAATATTGACAAAAATTCGTGGAAATCAAGTCATGGAGACATTTACCTGACAGAAGACGAAAGTGTTGAATATGAAAGTATTGAGTACTGCAGTGGCATCAGAACCACTAAATCCTAATAACTTCTTTCCAACAAAATTGAGGACTAGAAGAACAGCCAACTGATAAATGCTCTGACCAATGATATTCCTCCACATGGTCCTGGTAATGAAACTTTCAGTGCTCAAAACAGGAGGCCGTTTCATCAATCCTTCATGTGGCGGTTCAGTGGCCAGTGCAAGTGCACCTAAAGTGTCCATAATCAGATTGACCCAAAGCAGTTGAACGGCCGTAAGGGGAGCTGATCCTGAAATTGATAGCAATGGATAAAGTTGCTCACATGTCATTTAGAAATAGTTACTTTTACGTAACTTTTAGTTTTCATACATGTTAGGGTGTGTTACTTCTTTCTTTTTCACGTTAAGCGCACGTTGAAGAAATGAAAAGCCAGTTGTACAGCTAAACTTACCTGAGACACATGCAGATATAAAGTTGATCATGAGAGCAACAATATTCACAGTTAACTGGAACTGCACAAACTTTTGAATGTTTATGTATACAGAACGCCCCCATCTGGCTACATTCACTATTGTTGCAAAATTGTCGTCCAGTACAATTACATCAGCGCTTTCTTTTGCAACCTAAAAAAATTCATTATTTTCAATAAGAGGGAAAAAATAGTAATTAAGAGCATCTGGATAGTGAAAAAAGCCATACGTAATACCACTCATTAGGATGCACTTGATTTTCTCCAGCCATCATACTTATTATCACCTAAATACTGTGGTTTTTGCAAATGATCACTTATTACAGAAGTCTAAAAATCACAATTCATAAAACAAGGCAAAAAAGAAAACCAAAATCATCTATAGGTGAATAACATCCATTGCAGGCTTCTAGATTAGATCAACTAGGAATTAGTCAGTGATGTTCCAAAAACTTCAAATTTTCCTGAATAACTCAAGATTATCAATATATTGATTTCTTCCAGAAGGAGACCAAATGAATAACAAACATCATTTGGAGACTGAAATTTGAAAATAATACAAGGCATAACCAACTATTGCAGCAACAAAGCAAGTGAACTGACCTCGGTTCCTGCTATGCCCATGGCAAACCCAATGTCAGCTTCATGTAAAGCTGGGGCATCATTGGTCCCATCACCAGTAACTGCAACCACCTCTTTCATGCCTCTCAAATTCTTTACCAAAACATGCTTGTCTGTAGGAGATGACCGAGCCATTACCTACACCCACAATCTAAACACTTTAGAAGACACTATATAATTTTCACATATTGCCTCATTTTATGAGTATACATATATTATCCACCTTTATTTTTGGAATGATTTGACACATCTGATCGGAAGACTTGTGGCGAAATCTGGACCTTCAATGGCAAGATCATCATCGAGAAGTATGCCACATTCTTCAGCAATCGCTTTAGCTGTGTTAACATTATCACCAGTGACCATTCGCACGGTAATTCCAGCTGCTAAGCAAGTTTTAACAGCTTTTTTTACCCCAGGACGAACTGGATCCTTGATTCCCACTATTATAATCAACGTATAGCCAGAATCAGGGATGTTATTTTCTTGAAACCCATCGTCCATATCCTTGAAGGCCAAGCATAGAGTGCGCAAAGCTTCACCAGCAAATCCATTGATAACATTCATGGTATCTCTTACAAGTTCT